AGAGAGAAACACAAAGAGACACACACAGAGAGAGAGAGAGAGAGAGAGAGAGAGAGAGAGAGAGAGGGAGAGAGAGAGAGAGAGAGAGAGAGAGAGAGGCTGCGGAGAAACAGCCGGAGCAGCGGACACAGCTATGGTGGTTGGTGACACATTAAACGATATTGTCGTCCATAATCATAAGCACTCAGAACCCCCCGACCAACCATAGACTGAGTTCAACCATAGCCCGAGAGAGTCGACAGCCTCAACTCAGATCGTCTGAGAGGCAGTGAGAGCAGAACCAGCCAGCCTCTGAAATATATTATGAATACAAACGTACAATTCCAGCAACTACCATAGCCGCATAGCCGAAGTTATGTGCATCAGCGAACGAAAGGGAAGAGCAAGGAACTCCAGTCTCCAGCAACTACCATAGCCGCATAGCCGCATAGCCGAAGTTATGTGCATCAGCGAGCGAAAGGGAAGAGCAAGGCGGCTCCGGCCCTCGACTCGCTTCCTCCTCCTCCCCTTCTCTCCCCTCTACGCACGCGTTTGACACTTGGCATGGAACAACTAACGGAGTCGCTTTTGTGTCGGGAGTGCGAACGGAGAACCTGAGGAGGCCAAGAGAAGAGAAGACAAGAGAAGCGAAGGAAGGGAAGGAGGAGGAGAGAGGGGAGAGAAGGGGACAGCAGGGGAGGAGGAGGAGGAGGAGGAGGAGGAGGAGGAGGAGGAGGAGGTAGACTCTTGGCGATATAGATGTGTACTATGCTCTCTTTCTCCTCTCAGGTCTGTGGTCGCAATTCGAACTGACTACTCTCTGCCGTCATAAGTGAATCGTGGGCTGTCGACCGCAAGAGAAAGTCGCGATCCCATTTGTGAATATACCTGATCCATTGTGTAATTATATGTCCCAAGAACAGCTGGCCGGTGAAGAAACCTCTCTCTCTCTCTCTCTCTCTCTCTCTCTCTCTCTCTCACACACACACACACACACACACACACACACACACACGCACAGGGAGAGTGTCAGTAGCCAATAAGCCCTTCCCCCCCACCCACACCCCTACACACAGTGTTAGTAGCCAATAAGCCCAAGCCCCCCTTCCGTTTGGTGCATATCAGGATACTTCGGCTCACAAATTATTACTGCGGAACCTGCACATGGAGAGAGGATTATATTATTATAATGAACAACAAAACAAAACCAACAGTGAAGTAGACAAATTTCTATGCTGATGTAAGCCCTGGTCACTGGGCCCGTTTGAAATAAAGTTCCAAGGTTCAGAAAAAATAAATAAATAAATAAATAAATAAATAAAATAAATAAAATAAAAAATCACCAAGTGGCGTCAAAAAAAAAAAAAAAAAAAAAGGCAGCTGTGTGAAATTGTGAATAGGAGGCGATTGTATATTAGTAGGAAGTACCGTTCTTCCCCCGAATACAACATACGGTGATTATAGCCGTATTTGGCTCAGCTGTTTGTCCAGGTGCAGCAGAAATGACCGTACGTTCTATTCGGCAGAAGAAATAGTTTAGCGGTGGAAGGGTAGGGTAGGGTAGGATGCGGCCTTGAGCTGCTGGGTCTGAGGAAAGGCCCGCAGGCTTTTCAGCCTGTAAACGGGATGAGGCTTCGACATACCTTGGGGGGGGGGGAAGTCCCATTTGCAGCGTTGAGTTTCCTCAACGCCTGAATCTGGACGTGTTTGTCGAGATGTGCAGTTGAGGAAACTCAACGCCATTTCTGCACATCTCCACAAACTCGTCCACATTCAGGCGTTGAGGTAACTCAACGCTGCTAGTGGGACTTGGCCCCGGGTGGAATGTCGGGCCAAGTCCCGCTAGCATCGTTGAGTTTCCTCAACGCCTGAATCTGGACGTGTTTGTAGAGATGTGCAGCTGAGGAAACTCAGCGCCATTTCTGCACAGTTCCTCGAACGCATCCACATTCAGTCGTTGGGAGAACGCAACAATGCTACCGGGACTGCACCCCGGGGTCGAGGTCCCACTAGCGAAGGGGATAGGATAGAGATCCTGAATCTGGCTATGTTTTATGAAGATATACAGAAAAGCAGTTCTATCTCGATTTCCTGCTCCGGTCCTCAAACACGGCCAGATTCAGGCATTCAATCCGATGCTCTTTGCTACCGGGACTTCACCCCAGGTGGAATGTCGAGGAGCCCGTCCTAGGTTCTTGATTAATATGAAATGTTATTTTGAATTTTGAGGGGGGCAAAAAAAAAAAAAAAAAAAAAAGCAACCATGTAAGAAGAAAAATACGAAATGAAACGTATTTCTTGATAGATTATTGGAAAGAACTTCAAAGAAGAGAAATTACGAGTTTTTTTCTTTTTTTAAGTTTTTTGAACTTTTTTTTTTTTTTTTTTCAAAAGACCACACTTTTTTAGAGAGAAATTAAAGCGTAAAAAAAAAAAACAAAAAAAAAAACTCGTAAAGACTTGGTGCCTACGCAGTCCCATTTGCTCGGATGGAGAGGTGCGGTGCTGTGCGTTCATAGTCGAGACTGAGCGGCCAGTTTTTTAACCTTTTTTCCCCTTTTTCTTAATTTTCCTTTTAATGTTTATTCGGGCTCGATGGGCCACGCATCCGAACAGATACCACACTTGATCTTAGTCAAAACGTCGAAGAACGAATGAGCGGCCACGCCGGCCAGTATTCTCGCTCAATCCGTGCGAGTGGGAGTGGGACATGCCCACTGAGGGCCGCAATGAAAGGGACCAGCTTTGTCTTTCTTTCCCTGCCTTTTTTTCTGTGTTTTTTGTTTTTTTCGGCCTTTTCTTTTTTTCCCCTTGAATTCCTCTCTATTTTTTTATCCGAATTTCAATTATAAACAGGCAAACATGAAAGATTTGCCTGTTTATAATTGAAATTCGGATAAAATTGAAGAAATTGAAGAATATAGTGTAGTTTAGAGTGTATATCTTGGGCAAAAGGGTTACACAAGTTTTTTTGCCCCAAAACGAAGCAAAGCACTCCTTCACGCATGCATGCACGCGTGCATGCATCGAGCTCACTTGA